AAGCTCAATATTGTCAGGGGTGCTGAGAAATGATCCAATGATGGTGTTCTTTAATTTGGGAACTGTTTTAGCATTCCTTTGCTTTTTCAATGATAATTTACTAATAATAATAATTATAACATTTTAATCATTAAAAACATACGTGGGATACAAGATACTTTCCTCCCCCCCCACCCTTCACCTTCATCCCCAGGCTTCAATGTGCCTGCTTCTCTAAATAAACGTATTGTGGATCTGGTCGCACAAGAGTATGCGCTTGTAAACTACATTTGTTTGGTAACCAAGTGGTGTATCACTTAATATATATGATTACTAATGAACCTCTGACCAGTTTATAATGAGTACACTGTACAAGAGTGTGGTGTATTTTGAAAGTGTAGATCAAATAGATCTGTTCACATCTTCCTGTATCTGTGATAATTTTAATTGTAGAATACTGATGAAAATTTTTTGCGATTTGTTCCCAGAATAACAAACTTTGAGCCCATCACTCCACTGAAAAGCCTCAAGTCCAACTATTTTGGTGAGTAAAAGAAGATGAAAAAGTGTTGAGTGTAGTTTTTAGTATGCCACACATTTCACATTTTGTGGAATTATGGAACATCGCTGCTTTAGTCCTATAATAATTCAACCATGTAGCATGCTAGCATAGAAAGCAGCTATATATATAGGACAACAACAAACACAGCAGAAAGAAAGGAACTGCCCCACCCTCCCCGAAATGTAGCTGTAATAGTTTAGACAAGTACATGTTAAAGTTCCAAGCAAACTGTACAGGGGTGGTGTCAGGAAGTGATCCCAGTGGGTCAATAGCTAGGAGCCTCACCAATTCATTTGGTAGTAATGATGTGGTGGCCAAAAGATGGGGTTCCACTGCTCTATTATTTAATCATGCAGTTTATTGTTCATTATCTTCAAAAACTTTTAAATGTGTGTGTATTTAATTATGTCAGGTAAATTTGTGGCAATCCATGGGACAGTGATTAGAGTGAGTAATGTAAAACCTCTGGTTAAAAAGATGGCCTTCTCATGTAACCTGTGCAGTGAAACACAGGTGAGCATAAGTGGCGTGTTTGCCTGTTGCTTGCCTGCTTTTCTTCTCTCAACCCCCTTTTCTCTCCTCTTCTCCCTGCCTCATTGTCTACCTTTCTCCATCCAGGTCCCCACAGCTCTTCTGTTTTCTCTCCCTCCCTTATACCTGTTTACCTCCCTCTCCCCTAACCCCACTTCCTGAATCCTCCCTCCCTCCCTCCTTTCTTCTCTCTATCTCTCGCAACTTCCCTCTCTTCTTCCCTCACCCACTCCCTACTTCCCCCCTTTCCTCTTTCTTTACAGGTCTGTCTAACACCTTTTCTTTCTCCCTCCCTGCCTCCCTTCCTCCCCCTCCTTCACTCTTTTGCAGGCTATCTCCCTTCTTTCCTCTTTCCCTTGAACTTTATGCTGCTCTATGTACATGCATGTCTCGTTTTTCAAGGGACATTTGTTTCTTTTTAGGTAATCCATCTCACTGATGGCAAATACTCAATCCCATCTAAGGTATGTAATTTTATATAATGACACTGTCGGGCACCTGCAGGATTCATTTCATTTTAATTTGTAAAACTAAAAGTGAGATATTCTTATGAGTTCTTATATAAAAATGCGTGTGAATCTGACTTGTACATGTACTTTTACGAATTTGAAAATGATTAATGTGTCATTGAAACGTCATTCAAAATGATTATCACTAATTGTTATTCTTAATTGTTTATACAAAGTCTCCATTGCAAAATGAATTATAAAACTCCCTTTCAATTTGGCTTGTCACTATATAGTGTTCCTCTGTGGATTGCCGTGGCAGATCCTTCACTCCTGAAAGAAGTTCACCAATGACAGAGACTATTGATTGGCAAACTGTCAGGTTAGTGACAGTTCTTTATAATGTAAGGGGTTTCATTAATGTTTTCATGAGGAAGGTAACTTGCTTTCACAGACATGCAGGCAAACCTTTTTGACCTGAACGTCTTTATAAGGTAAGCTTCCTCTGGATGGTCAAACTTGGTAAAAGAGGCCAAATCATCCTCACAGCCGATCAATTTGCCCAGTGCCTGGCCCTTGGTGAAGCCCCTGTTATAATCAAGCCTGCTTTTTGTGATACATATGCATGTTAGTAAAGAGCCATTTCTTAAATATAGTTGTAACATAATTATATCTTTTAATTAACTGGAAAGTTTTTCTCTTGGTTTTAATATCTGAAATAAGATCATCTGCCTTTCATGTCTTCAGTGTGACAATCTCATTGAATGGTTTGTTCTGCCCACAGAGTTCAGGAAATCATGGATGATGATCAGAGAGAATCTGGAAGAATCCCTAGAACCATGGAGTGCGAACTGACAGCTGATCTAGGTACTATGACTAGATTTAATATAATTAAATGTAACTGATCATGAACTACATGAACTAACCCTTAGTGAAATGTCTCCATTAAGAATAATAACTGAAACAAACCTACCCAGGGTTCCAGATAGGTTTTCAATGCAGGTTCCCAACAAGGAATTCCAATGGGTCTATTCCCACTGCTCCTAGCAATTCATTGTAAATTTTCAATTCATTTGTTGGGTCATTTAGCTGACCTTGTAGGGTTTTTGACCTGAGACCCCCTACTTATCTGGAACACTGCTACCTGACTAAAATAATATAAAGTAGCAAACAATTAAACTGAGGCAGTACTACTGTTTTACTCCTTGGTAAAATTACACGAGAGCCATGCTAGATTACAACACATTTTCATGATTGTCCATCAGGCAAGGGCCAACTATCATGATGTACTAACTTAAAACTCGTACTCCAATCTGTAATTTGAATTTCCTCAAACATTTTACCAAAACACTTCATGGCCAAGTGGCAGACAGAATCTAATTTCTAGCCTAACTGGAAAATCCAGAAGCATTGGGCTATTGAACAGGACTTTCTTCACACACTGATATTGGTGTAAAGTCTTGCATTCCTCAGGCAATCCTACACCTTGCAATTTAGAACAGCATCAGTCTAATACTGTCAATGATGTTTCCCTTCCATGGTTGTCAAAAATTAAAAGTTAACTCAAAAAACACAAGGCATTAACTGTTCCCGTATTATTTTTTTTAGTGGACAGCTGTGTGCCAGGAGACATGGTCACCATTACTGGTATTGTGAAGGTTACAGGCACAGAGGAATGTAAGTTAAGTATGATGGATTATGTGTACCGAAGGCATCCCCAGTCAAGTGTCAATTGATACCCCCAGTCAACCCTTGATTGACACCTTGATCAACATCTTGATCGGCACTCAATTGACATCTTAGTCGCTACCCAGTCGACACTAGACTGACACTCAATTGACACTCGATTGACAGTCAGTTGATAGTTGGCTTGAGTGTTGACCAACTCATATGTAGCAATCCACAATCGATGGTGTGTTTGCAAAAATTAGTCAACTCTAGACTGATTATCGATTGAGATGTCACTCAAGTGTCAATCAAGATGTCGATCGAGGGTATCAATTGACACTGAACTGTGGATGCCTTTATAGTGCACATGATCCAGTTTGACTGTATAATTTCTGTGATATATCAGGCTTGCAAACTTTTGTTTCTTTGTTGAACATGGCTGTGTATGTTTAGATCGGAACAAGAACAACAAAGACAAGTGTATGTTCCTGCTGTACCTTCATGCTAATGCAGTAAATAACAACAAGGGTGCAGGGCCCAGCAGTGGAGATCAGCAAACCAGTGGTCTGGCCATGGAGTTTTCAATCAAGGTACACATTTCATGTAACTGAATTTTTACATCCTCTTATTGTTTTAACTCATCTCTTGGAACATTAAGTATCAAATCTAATCAAATCACCCCTAGTTATGGTACTAGCACAAATAATAAAAGTTTTCAACTGACAACGCAACTCAGAGAACCAGTGGTAAAACCTTCAGAACATGGAAGATAACCATAAAGTACAAATTTAACTTTAAACCGAGACCAGGCTCAAAATTGAACCCTAAGGCCTCTTTGATGCATGTGTAAGACAAGCACTCTGAGCACTGCACCCAGCCTGCCTGGCATGATACTGCATCAGCTACAGTGCTGTACAGTAATGTAAAAGGTAGTTCTAAGGTTTGTGCCACTCTGTGGATGAAACAGTGTAACGTGTGAGCATAGTATTCAAATTACAACTATTGCACCGGCAGCCTATAATATTGTTTTTCTGTCATTTGGATAAAGCTGATCATGCCAACCTAAATGCATTAGTTATGTCTGTTTAATGCTACGCCTTAATTTTTAAATATATGCTTTGCATTTTATAGGAACTGTATGCCATTCAAGAAATTCAGGCACAGAGCAACCTGTTCCGACTAATAGTTGGGTAGGACTTACATGTACAATGTTTAGCTACAAGAGAGACTAAATTGTTTGTTGCATTCATTTAAATTGTTTACTGCATTTTCCATATCTTATCCAGGAGTGGATCAATAACGGATTCCATGGTTTTATGGAAAGCAGTCAGATTTTTCAGAATAACTCAGAAACCCAAGAAAGGGGACTTGGAGATTAAAATCCAAAAAATTTCCTGGGGAAGGCCGTCTAGAAGCTTGCACCATTGGTGTTTGGCATTTGAAAATTGATCACCATTTATTGTAGATTTGCACCTGTACTCTTTATTAATAGCTTAGGAACTGGGCATTTATTCACCTCACTTGCACTGATTTTCAGACAAGGAGGGATATGATACCACTTGGAATGTGGAGCTCAAGTGTGATGAGTAAACTTATTTAGAGACTTACGTGTGAAGTCAAACAGGAGTGGACTATTATAGTAGATTTTAATTCCCTTGTTTCAATATTTTTTATTAACCACTTTAAATATTATTTTATAGATCTCTATGTCCTTCCATCTATGGTCATGAGGTAATACTGAGTTGTAAACGGCATCATATTCAGAAGATTGGCTTCATGATGAACTTGCCATTTCTTTTTTCTTACATTATGCATATTGTGCTCCTCATTGTTAGATGGTGAAAGCAGGCCTGGTTTTAGGGCTGTTTGGAGGAACTCAGAGATACTTAAATGATAAGGTACAGGTTTGGCTATAGTCAATTAATTTAAGACAACAAGACCAGCAGAATCTTTTCTGCTAGCCCAAGACTTTTTCACCCTAACTGCAAAAGAAATTGAGACTCAAAGAGAGTATTGTGAAAAATGGAGATAGTGGCATGTCATCCGTCAAATTTGATTAAAATTCGGTAAGATGCATATTTTGTGAAGCACTCGTTCATGCAGTCACTCAGTTGGTCAGCTGGTCAGTTGGTCAGCTAGTCAGTCAGGTCAGTCAGTCAGTCAGTCAGTCAGGCAGTCAGCTAGTCAGCTGTTCAGACTTTCAGCCGGTGAGTTGGTCAATGGTGAGTTGGTCTATCGGTCAGCCAGTGAGTCGGTCAGTCGGTGAGTTGGTCAGTCGGTCAGTCGGTCAGTCGATCAGTCGGTCAGTCAGTTAGTCGGTCAAAGCTGACTATGGCCTTGGCCAATTTTTATAGATGATGCTTTTAGAACAGGATTCATATTAACATCCACCTGTTTAGAATTAAACCTCATTCTTGTGTTTCCATAGAATCGTATTCCAATCCGAGGCAATCCACACATACTGGTTGTGGGTGATCCAGGATTAGGGAAAAGTCAGGTAATATTAATATTATCATTTTATTATCCTTTGTTAGCTAAATTTTGGTTGGTTACAGTCATTGTTTTGAACCACTATCTACAGTACTAACACAAATTTTGTCATTCAGTAGACAATGGAGCTATAATTGAATTGAACCATCTAACTGTAGCACGTATAATTCCTTGAGCAACTGTTTTTAGAAAATAGTTATCAACCATTAAAACCTCAGAGCTAAGTTGTTTCATTTCTTTTGAATGCAGATGCTTCAGGCAGTATCTAACATTGCTCCTAGAGGTGTGTATGTTTGTGGAAATGCAACATCAACTTCTGGACTTACGGTAAATAAAAGCCTGAATTTTGTTGTTGTTTGGGGTGTAAAATTTGGGTTGTGAGACAAATAATTTTATTCGTTAGTTATTTTATTATTAAGAAAACTGGTTTGTTTGTCCTTTAAAGTAGGTAGTTTGTACACCTTGAAGTGTGAGGGTGGACGACAAAAACCTCATTAGGGGCCAGTTTTGACACATTAAAATTCTCAAATATGGTGCCGAGGCTGAAAGGAGGGGAATAAAACAAAAGAAATCATTTAAATATTCTTCCCTTGTCCCTGATTATTTTAAGGGTAATTGTAAGTTTGTTGGTATAGTCCCGAACACTGTCTGACAAGGCTTTCTTAGAACATTATACCTTGTAAAGGAGATGATTTATCTGTAAGGAGTTTGATGTAAGAGAAGTGTTCTCAATACTGTAGCACTTAGTAAAGTCTTAGATTGTGAACAGATGCAATGCACATGAGGTAGGTGGGACCACTCATCAGGAAACTAATGCTGGCCTTTATGTGCAGACATTGGTGCATTTGTTTTATTTTATATGTAGGTAACATTATCTAAAGAAAGTTCCTCAGGAGACTACTCATTAGAAGCTGGAGCACTTGTCTTAGGAGACCAAGGTATGAACTGCTTGAAAATTATGTTGACTCTCTGTACGTATTGCAGGTCTATAATCTCAAATATTTGTCTAACTCTCTGCACGTTTTGTGAGCCAATGATGTTTGAGAAGCTATGATTTTAGATGATTATTAGTTGCATGAGCTGTAGAATGACACCATCACATTAGCACACAATAACAACATTATTCTGGGTCTTTTTTTCACGGGGTATTTCTGCGTACTAGGGTGTTGTTGCATTGATGAATTTGACAAAATGGGAAGTCAGCATCAAGCTTTGTTGGAAGCCATGGTAAGGTTAACATCACTAATATCTTTTATTACATGGCTAGCTCTGCAACTGCGACATCAACTGCAACCACAGTCTTTATTCATGGTATGGAAACTGGGGCTAAGGATCATCCTTCAAGGAGCTCAGACAAAATTACTTTTAAATTGAAGGAAACTTCAAAATAGTAGTTAACTAAGCATAAGATAGGAAAACACCAAAGAATAATCCATGAAGGAACAAGGATGGTTAAGGATGGAGAAGATTAACACAGATTACAAGCTAGTACTTTGAAAAATTTAGACTAAACGTTTTAAGATAAGTAAACGGTGACGTAGCCCCTTTAAGCAGTTTTCTCACAAATACTTGACACTGAGCTTGGCTGTGCCGCTCAAACTTCTTTTGGTCTCTGAAATTGCATGACATTGGGCATCTCTTGCAATGTAAGGCATTTTTGTTTTAAGAAAAGTTTTTAATCATTTTGATAAATTTAACATTTTGTTAGGAACAACAAAGTATCAGTATTGCAAAAGCTGGCATCGTTTGCAGGTGAGTAGAAGTGCTTGCTTTTGCTGATAGGTTTTCCCTTTGTACAATTCAAATTTTAGGGATGTGCTCAATAAATGTTTTTTTTTTATATATATAAATGCATATGAACAACTCCATTCAGTTTACCAGCAAGGACATCGATCCTGGCCGCTGCTAATCCTGTGGGAGGCCATTACAACAAAGCAAAAACTGTATCTGAGAACCTCAAGTAAGTTGAACGTATACTTACAAATTTCTCAGGATATTGCTCGATCAAGTAAGTTGATTATCACCACAATCAAGGACACCCAAGGGATCGCAGGGGATCGTAGGCAATCTGTGTTGAAGACCAGTTTTGTTGCAACTCTCCATGCAGCAGTGTACCAGTTGCAAGCTGTAACGTTGAAGGTGATCCTTGTGGTGGAAGTTCCTTGTGAGTGGCTGGGACCATTTGGTAAATGGTTAATAGCAAGTGGTGTGCTAACCCTCTTCCTCCCCACCCCCCGGCCCCTGGAGGAACTCCCATGTGAAAAGGTCGGGGATGCTTGTTGGAAAATTTGAATTAATCTCCTAGAGGAGACCAATTTGGGCGCGGCTCGAGCTTTATTTGACTCCTAACAGATGCCGCTTTAAAACAGACATGACTTCGCTTATTATTGTTTCTTCGAGTGCACCCCTAAAAGATACCTTAACGGCTAAAATTAGTGCCGTTTCGTTCTGAATACCCTACTAATCGAGACGACGAGCATCGCGGACCTTTTCAAATGTGATTCCTCGGGGATGCTAAGCTGGTCGTTGAACTGGCCAGAAGCTAACCTCTAACTTGAACAACTTGAATTGTTTTTTTTTCTTGAATCTCGTTAGGATGGGCAGTGCTTTGTTATCACGCTTTGACCTTGTAAGTTTAGTAAATCTTTAACACTTGACCATTCTGATCTGCCATATTTACTTTTTATTCATTTCTTTAATTGTTAGTTAAGTCTCGCTTAAGCTTAGTGTAAATATAGTGAAGTTTGGGTCTTTTCGTTCCTATGATATTTAGTGATTTAAAAGTTTAATTTTTTTTGTGGGTTTTTATAGTTTTATCACCTTTTTTAGATTTGAAGGCGTATTATGTAATAACTTTTTAACAATATTGACCGAACGTCTTAGCTAATAGACGATACGCGGGCAAATAAGTGATACATCAATTTTTTGTAAACTAAATAACATTAATTTAAAGACAAACTATTTGTACAGGACTTAACTTATAGTACATTTCTCTTCTTACATCACACGTGATTGATCAATTGATTGATTGAGTGATACCATATTTATTTGTAGCAAATGTATTTTAAAAAATAAACTGACCGGGCTAACGAAACCTTAGGCTTCAGTAACATAGATTCAAACTTTACATTTGTCATTTTGTTTAATATTTTTAGGTTTTTATTTTGTTGGACAAGCCAGACGAGGTAACTAAAGTTTCAAACGTGTGTTTTAAAACAACGTAGAGTTTCTAAAAGACGTTTCTTTCAGGCCTCATAATGTTGTGATATTCTTCTTTTTATGACAGGAAATGGATTGTATGTTGTCTGAACATGTCATGGCGTTACACTCTGGGAAAAAGAGGTAAGCTTTTGACCGTACCAATGAATAGGGTTCCAGCCCATTTATTGTTAGGTGCCTATCATCAAAATGGCAATGTGCCATTATATTTGGCATTACGCTGGTTTAATGCGAATTTGCCATTGATAATTTTGCAGTCGTCACCGTATCATTACGTTGATATTTCAAATTGAGTTAAGGCAAGTAATATATCAATGAAAATCTAGTCGTGAGAATATCCGGGACAATGAGCTACCAATTTCTTCAATTTTTGGTCTGAAAGCGGTCAGCGAAAGGCAAGGAACTAACCACTCTGTTCTTAAACACAGCATCTTTTGGTGTTGATCTCTTTTAAAATTAACGTGAATCTCCAACTATCGCTAATGTCAGTGTCGTTGATAAAGCGTCTCCTTAATTTCTGCGAAACCAAGGCTTCTGATGAATTCAAATACATCACTTCTGCTGAGATATTCAACGTGGCAGCAGAGGTCACAAGGTTCCTCTTGTACTAGCCTGCGTTGCAGGCGTAAACGGGGAAGGGGTAGGGAGGAGAAAAACGCACACCACACTCCCTCCCCCATCCCCGCTCTCCCTCCCACCCCCCGTCCCCCTTTTTACACCTGCTACGTAGGCTTCGTTTGTGTCAGTGGTGCGAAAGGATATCTCTTTCTCATTCATCCTTTTTGTGTTGTTATCAGAAAGAGATTACAATTCTAATATTTCACAATATACCCTTATTTCCAGTGCATTTGGGATAGCCACTGCAAGACGGCGCTCAAGAGAGGTAGGAACATCATTTTGATACACAAGTAATTTTAAGGGGATAGCATTTTAAGTAATTGTGTTTAATTTTGTCAAAATCGAGTTCTAAATTTCAAATTGGCTGAACAGCTAGCAGTCTTTTATTGGCAACATCGCAACCACACATTTAATGAAGGATGATTTCTGAGCATTACAATTAACACTTTTACTTAACAATTATTCGCAGAAGGCGAAGTGAACATTGGTGAGTATTCACCGAGACGAAGTCGACGTGGGTATTCACCAATGTTCAGTGAGCCTGCGGCGAATAATTGTTGTAGTATAATTTTCAGAGGTCAATATCAAGGACTACAAAATAACGGAGTACAATATAAAAACACAGACGCAATTGTTCGTTTGCATACACGTATGCAGACGCAGTTTTAATAATAAGCTTACATGTTTTCATCGATTGTGANACTACAAAATAACGGAGTACAATATAAAAACACAGACGCAATTGTTCGTTTGCATACACGTATGCAGACGCAGTTTTAATAATAAGCTTACATGTTTTCATCGATTGTGAATCAATTTACTCTTCGAGTTCGGCAGTAACAAAAACAAGCGAAACACCACGAAAAATAAGTTCATCTGGTACCTTTGTTTTATCGTTGTTGATTTCATTCATAGTTGTCATCATCGTCTAAAAATGAGTAACTTTAGTTTGAAGAAAAATAAATTGCGGTCGATCGATCTGACCTGCTGGCGATCAAAACCACTCTGTTTACTAATCTTAAATGCGTTGAATTCGAGTTCTTGAAAAGATTTTTGGTTCAAGGGCGACAGCAGTCATTTTGAGAATTCTCCATCCTCTCAAATATCCTGGACTTGGAGTGATGTCTTTCGAATGAATGAAAATTTCATTCAGCAACTGTCCGTCATGTTTACTTGCCGAGATGTTTACTCAGTTGCCTTTTTGACTTTCTCGTGTCTCTTTATAACTTTTCTTAAGTTTTAGCCGATATTGTGATAGTCCCTGTAAGATTCGATGTTCGATACAAGCGTCATCTGGACTGATACGCAACTAACATCCGGGCCAGTATGAAAGCTTATTAACGCTAACACAAGATTAGGAGATCCTTGAGGTTTTAAGTTCAAGGTTCTCGTATAAAATTGTTTCCAATTGCTAATGTTTTGTGCATTTTGAGATAAGTAGACGTGAAAACTGGAGGACAGAAAATATAAACAGGACACCTCACTGAGAAAGTTGTAAAACAGATATCAAAATTCATGTTTAATCCTGCATTAGCCTCATCGTGTTTCGAGCGACCGGGTCCCAGGGGCAAGGCTTTTCATCAGCATTAGTCTTCCAGCTAATGACATGAAAGCAATTAACTGACCAATCAGTTTCAAGGATCGGAAAACACTAGTCTTGACTGCCAAACAATTGAAACATCACTGATCAGTCATCACGAACAAGACGAGACAAAATGCTTAAATCAAATTCGTTATTCACTTGAAAAGACCTACTCAAAATCTTAGAAAATAATGGGCAGGACTACAAGATTTCTAGTTCGTTAGGTGAGTTTACAACGTGTTCTCTGTCTGGAGTCTCACCAGGTTAATTCTGTGTTTATTTCTTTTGCCTTCTTACTGATGCAGGAGAGTAACAGTGACGAGGATGAGATGAGAAGACAGTGGGAAGCTGACAAACCTCTCTCTGAACGCCTTAAGGTGAACTCACTGCTTCTGAAGTGATTATTTTCGTTACCATACAGTATCATTGTCTTATTATGGTGCAGAGTATAGCTGCTGTATATCCTATTAATTATTGTTAGAGTTGAGCGTGTATTTTTTTTTAATCGATGCACGGTTGGAAATTATAGGATATATGTATGTCCCGGATGTTGTGTTGCCCGCGCAATCACCGCCCCTTCTCAGATGTAATTAATGCACTTTTAAGGTCTAGGAAAACTGCTGACCGCACTCACGTTCCGTTTGTGCGTCCACTAGCAGTTTGTCAGTGTAGGCCTCAAGCGTGCATTGCTTTCTAGAGAACATAGAACACCACCTTCTCTCTGGTAAATAGAACATAGAAAACTTCGGAAAACACTTCACATGCGCTCTGAATTTGACTTATAATAATTTCACGGCCTATGTGAAATAACACGGTTCTTTTTGTTCACAGATAGGTCGAAATGAAGAGTTTGATGCTATTCCCGGGCCTCTTCTGCGCAAGGTAAAAAAAATGCTCGATTTTTCAGGCTAAGCCTTTTATTCAAAATCAACGCAAACCTGTTTTCATTGTAATTTACAAAGTTTTCAAATCAGCTTCGCACTTCGCCCTCGTCCGATTATGAAATTACTCGCGCGATTACTCCCTGAATTGAACTCCACTCGGTCCAATTACTAAAACTAATTGCACAAAAATACAATTCTGTTTTGACGGTGAATTGTTTTTTAGTACGTCGGCTACGCCAGGACTTACGTCAATCCCAAGCTTACACCCGCGGCAGCAGAAGTATTGCAGGTGAGATGTTGACTCGTTACTAGTAAAGCACGCGCTTACTGACTTGGTTGTGGGGCTGGAATATCTATGGATTAAAGTCAATAACGTGCCGACCGAGTGCAGCGAGGTCTTTGCAAGGGAAACGACAGTTAAAGACGTTCCCTCTTGACTTGTCTAACGCTGTGAATAACTACCTTTTCTGTCGATGTTGCTCTTGTGTCAATTTTTCCCGCCCAAGAGACGTCAAGGCTCTACACGGAAAATTTCATTCGATGATGTTAATCTTCAGATAGTCACGCCAGCCATTTGTTTTGAATTTCTGTGCGCAGTAAAACGCTACGTGGATCATTACAGCTACATCATCAGAATGGACTTTTTCGGGTTGAATCTCAGTCCCGTAAGCGGGGAAAGAGCTGAATACGTGAGATGACTTTACTGCCACACGAACTGAAGCATTCTATGAAGAAAATGTTAAAAATGTACTGGTAATATGCCATGTTCGCTTTCTCAGGATTGGACTGGAACTAGCTTGTAATGGAGGCTCATGCGGGGGGATATAATTAAAAAGAGATTGAAATCCTTTGCATTTGAAAAGACTTTGAAAAGACTGGCTGCATTAGCCTCAGTTGTAACTAGGTCCAGTCCAGTAACAAGAATGCCAAAATGGTTTATTCTCGTGTTACATGTAATTATACAAAACATGTTGTACGCTAAAGTATTAAGGGGTCGTAAAGCTATGGATTGGAGAGGAAAAGCTGCGAGATCCTACTCACATATGATTGTAGGTCGACGTGCTCTCCAGAATGACGCGTCTTAAGGTTTGTGCTGTATTCGGACTAAAAACATGCCATGAGTGAATGCCATCTTATATGTGACAAGTACGTTAGAGCGAATGTGGATAAAATACGATGCGATGGACAACCACGACGGGGATTGTGTTAGTTTTCCTGCTATTCGGGGGTTATTCTTGTGTTTGCGTGCATACAAACTAATGCCTGCATTCTATGTGGGTTTAAACTGATGACATCTGATTAACCTATGGTTTGTTGACAGAATTTTTACCTAGACTTGAGACGCCAGCACCACTGCGCTGACAGTACTCCTATCACAACCCGACAACTGGAGTCACTCATAAGACTCACTCAGGTACAACTCCTCAACTCTCTTTTTAATGATTAAACGCTTTCGGGCTGTCCCGATCATACACTTTCGGGACGTCCCGATCATAAACGTTCGGTAAGTCCCGAGCATACGCTTTCCAGAGGTCCCCTATTCTCATTGTAGTAATAATTCAGTAAGTTTAAACTTAGGAAGACATAACAGTGTCGGCGGTGTGGATATCTAATGTTAAAATGCGTAGATTTCTTTGTCTTTATTTCATCCTGCTACTTAGTTAAAGTTTCAACAACAACAACAACAACAACAATAACAATAATAATGATAATAATATCAATTAAATACTGAAAGCATTCTCATNTTCGGTAAGTCCCGAGCATACGCTTTCCAGAGGTCCCCTGTTCTCATTGTAGTAATAATTCAGTAAGTTTAAACTTAGGAAGACATAACAGTGTCGGCGGTTTGGATATCTAATGTTAAAATGCGTAGATTTCTTTGTCTTTATTTCATCCTGCCACTTAGTTAAAGTTTCAACAACAACAACAACAACAACAATAACAATAATAATAATAATGATAATAATAATAATAATAATAATAATAATAATATCAATTAAATACTGAAAGCATTCTCATTTTGATTGTTTTATGTGTTCCTGAAGGCTCGAGCACGACTGGAGATGCGCGAGAAAGCCAGCCAACAGGATGCTCAAGATGTGGTGGAGATAATGAAGTACAGTCTGTTGGACACATTCAGCGACGATTTTGGGAACCTAGATTTTCAGCGGTCACAACACGGATCAGGAATGAGTTCCAGAGCACAGGTGAGACCTCTCACAGCAAAGAGAGATGTGTTTTTAGTGTGTTAGCTAACTCAGCGCGCCGAGTAGCGCATAAGACCTCAGATGAGTTGGAGTCCGATACAGGTTAAATATACACTTGTCGACGTCCGCAATAAGCGAGTTAGGAAACATTACTATGATGTGAAGTATATATGAAATAATTCAATGCTCTACCAACTGAGCTATGAAGTCTCACATTGGGAGCGAGGTCAATTAATTAATTAATTGAGTTAATTGACCTTGCTCCCAATGTGTGACTTCATTGCTCAGTTGGTAGAGCATCGCACCGGTATCGCGGAGGTCACGGGTTCGAATCCCGTTGAAGCCCTGATTTTTTCAGGCTTCTTCTTTCCAATTGCTTAAATTGGAAAATTTACTGCGATGATCATTCTTCACTTTCACTTTGAAACATTACTATGTTAAAAATCGTCACTTGCAGAAAGCACACAGGTTAAATGTTTATACCATTGGCCTTTGGTTACCTTCCTTTTATTTTTCTACCTTCTTCGGAGGTTGTGAAAAAGCGAGAACGGATTGATCCTAGCGAGTAATCGAATATCATAAGTTTGGCCAACTATTTTCGATTTCCAATCTCTTGGGAATTTTAAAAGTGCCGTAATTTTATGTACCTTCTGCAAAGGTGAGGTCATTTTGGTCTTAAAGCTGCAGTTTAAGTGATTTATTTCTGTTATTTTTTTCTTCCAGTCCAAACGCTTTGTTGCTGAGCTGAGTCGCATATCAGAAAGAGAATACAATTCTCTTTTCACTGTTGAACAAATGAGAAGAATAGCGAAGGTATCTGTTAGAACCATAGTAAACTATCTCGTGAAAGTAGTAGTCAGTAACTTACATTTAAATGGTTGCACACAAGGGTTTCATCCACAGACTTTTAAAAAGTTAGAATCACTTTGTACAGTATAATAAACAGTACCACATGAAAGTACTGCTCAAAAGCTTACATTTAAATGGTCACACACTAGGGTTTCGTGCACAAACATGAGAGATTAAACCGGTTAAATTATTTTTCTTTATAGGACCTACGACTGCAGATTCGCAGCTTCGATGACTTCGTTTACGCTCTGAATAATCAAGGTTTTCTATTGAAGAAGGGGCCTAGAGTCTACCAACTTCAGACCTCAAGCTGCTTGTAATTTCGGAGTAAAGTGGCCACTCTGAAACTTAAACCTCTCATCTTCAAAACCTGAAGTAGCTCTCTGTTTTTCGGCATTCTTTCCGCCAAAAACATCAGTCCGCCATATTAACTTTTACGTACTCAATTCCTGAACGCCAGTCAAGCTTGCCGAAACTTAACTAATCTCGGAAAGAATCCTGAAAAACAGAGAGCAACTTGATTTTGCTATCAGACAGGTCGCATAGACATGAAGTAGCAACATTTTGCTTCAATATGAAGCCACTAATTGGTTTTGTTTCAATTTTAGAGGTTCTGTATAGGAGAAAAGATACTTGTCAACGATTAAAGTGGTGTTTATTCTGTGTTATTTTCTCACTATCGATTTACTCTTGTGTGCACTTGGACTGGTCTACCTATGTTGAGTTTAAACGTATAAAGGACAGAGTTCACCACTTAGGCTTTTTTTGAATGCTTTATTTAATTTATATCACTGATATTGAGGCAAAACAAAATTGCTAAGCGTAGGCGAGAAAAACAAACCCTATCCTCTCCTTATCCTGATATATAACCAATACCGAAATCAAATCTAACGACCCTGTCACTACAGCAAGCGAACTCAAATCTACTGCCTCATCAGGTTTCTTTGCCCCGGTCACTGGCCAGTTGAGCACATGAGCTCTGGTTCTGTGTTTGGAATTAAAAGAAGACGGAAATTACTTCATGTGATTAAAAAGTTTCTCTAGTGCTGTGATCTGAATATGATTTGACCCTGAAATTTCATCATTGATTTAACAGTCAATTGATCCTTGCATCAGCTGTACACAACAAAACAAACAAACAAACACAACAAAACATAGAACATATAAGAAAACAGTCCTAAGAAAATACGCGCGCTGATTGGTTAAAAATCGTGTTTCTATAACTCGATGGAAACGCAGAACTAGCACGAGCTGTTGACGTACTGATGGCGGGAGCAAACAGAATTTAAATTTGATGATCAAAGTAAACAAGCTGTTTTTCTTGTTTTCATTGCGGTGTTTTCTAAAAGAAGTGGGCAACATGTTCTCCATGTTTCTATGGAGTTGTAGAAACACTCATTAAAGTTTGGGAGAACTCGAAAAAGCTGTGGAAACGCCTACGGCTCGTGTTCCCACAGCATTTCTCGTTCTCCCAAACTTCCACTCGTGTTCCTATTAAACAATTAGATTATGAGCTCGAGATTTCTATCGCGTGATAAACTATCACGCATAGAAATCGAGAGCGAGTAATCTAATTGTTTTAGTATAAATCTACTAGTCGTTCAAAACTATCTAAATCCTCTTCACTGATACTTCGAAAACGCCAAGAAGCGGCTTTAATTTTGTTAACAAGGGCGCAGTGCTACGCTACTCATTATCTATCACAGACTAGATAGTGAGTAGCGTAGGCAGTCAGAGAACGGCATTCGTGATAGAACGCTAGTAGATTTACACTAAAACTCGATAGAAACACGGTACATGTTTTCTATTTCTTAAATACAAGACAAAAACACAAAAAAACATAAGTTGTCCGAAGGAGGGTTGACCAGATTACTTTCAAACCTAACCAGTGATTATTTTCACACGTTTGTAACCGAGATGTTTTAAAGGAACATTTTTGATAAACAACCATTTCAATATCTGATACGCTGGTCAGTTAAATCCCCTTCCGCGAGACGCTATTGTGTTCAGTCAAAGCTTGTAACAAATTAGCAATTGTGAAGTCTTATCAAATCTACTTCTATACATTCATTAAAATTTTAGCAAAATACTCGATGTTGTTACCTTAACGCAACATAACAACCAAGGAATCGGCAACGTCCATGTTGTCTGTAAAGAGAAACGAAATACTTGAGCCAAGCAAGATGTAAACAGACAGAAGTAGTTGGGACGGTTGAGTTAGATCACGTATTCCCCATTCCCCCTAATCAATGTTGGAAAACGTCGCGTTTTTTTCAAAAAAAAGAATTTTTTTTCGAAAAAAAAGAGAAAAAAAGCCTCCTGATTATCAACATTGTAAGTGGGGGAAGAGGAGAACTTGCTTCGTCTCCCAACTTTTTTGTCTGGGATTGTAGGCGATCTCAGTTACTCGTGCATTCAGTTGTTTTGGTTGTGGCCCATGAAACAAACATTTCAAATTACCTCAAAATAGATAAGGATTACAACTGACGCCCCGTCCACTCTACGCTGGAGGAATTTGAAAACGCAGCTCTATTTTATCCGGTTAGGTCTTCTGTCCACTGTTAATCCGTCACGAAAACGGAGCTTTTCGGAAACGCTCATCAAACCGGACGAATTTAAAAACGCCGGCCTTGCGTTCTAGAATGGACGGAAAACATTTTGAAAACGAAGCTTTTCAAAAACGATAACGTTACGATAATGATAATATTCCCCTGCTCGAGTTTTACTTAAACAGAAATGCAAAATGACCGGTGGTTGTTGCGTTTTCAAATTTCTCCGGCGTAGTGCTAGCGTGGAAGGGGCCCGACAGAAGGTTAACCAAGTTGCCTGTTTCCATGGAGACACAGAGGAGTTGAACTCGCAACTAACAGAAGGGTTTGATAATGGCACATTATTGCGACTTTTTCAAAGCATTGGAAATTGTTTCGCCATAATCAGCTTGGTGACTGGATAACGGGAATTGGAATTGCTTTCTTTAAGAACCTGAAAGGCTAACTGTAAATGTTATTAACCCATACGCTTGTATTTGGTGCACTTTTCAATGATATCAGTGAATTCTAACGTCACTATTTTTTATTTCCTTCTCACATTGTTCACATTACGCTCTATAAAAGTATTACAAACAAAATTGAGGACAATGGAAACAGGAGGTAACGTTGGTTGCAGGTTGGTTAACACTTGCGCTCAGTTGCAGTGTGGTTTGAAATTTCCATGCCCAGCAGAGCATGTTTAGGTCGTTAAACAGTGTGGACATTTTTCCTCGGCGTCGTTTTACTTACTGTAACTCCTCCAGTGCGTGCGACCGGCCACAATGCTGTATATGACAGCGTTTTTACCATAACGCTGCTCCCAGTCACAATACAAGTTTGTTCCAGTGATCACCATCCATCCAAAATCGCCATTGCAGTGAAAGCCGTATTCGCTGTTGATAATGAAGCTGCGTGTAATCCCTGCCTCGATAGTAAAGAGGTTCCGTGGCTGGCTTGCCATGTCACTCCAGGCATTTTCAGTCAGTTTATCGAATTGGAACCAGTTCACGTTGTCTGATCCCTTGGCGTTGAATTTCAGTTGTTTGACCGGATTCCCTCCTTTATATAACATGACCCTTGCCTGATCAGTAAAATAAAGCACAGAAATTAAATCAAATACTATGCAGCGTGTCTTTAAGAACAAAACTATTTCAGCCACCAAACTCGAAGTAATCGTAAAAAGAAAAATACAATGTATACTATAGAGCAGATTAAGTTATCCCTACAACTTCTCTTGCCCGCGTCATTAAAGCACTGTGTTTCTTGGAATACCTTACCTACCTATACATTAGTTATACTCCGCTCACCTCGGACGCACCGAATTGACCCCAGTTCAAAACAATCCTGTTCTTGTAGTCGTTGGGATACTGGTTGGTGACGTCAAGAGCGGCCATTTCGTTCTCGGCGTATGTTTTACTCGACTTGTAAGCTTGATACGCAATTTGATTGGCTCCAGTTACCGCCTTAAACACCATGGTCCAGCCTGGTGGATACAAAAACAAATTATAGCAGTCAGAACTGATAGCATTTCTTTAAATCGATGTCCAGGCAGAAAAAGGAGATCTCATCTAGTGTTGACTTATCTAGTGCTAACCTCCGCCAGCCATGTCACAGTACACCGGAAATGCTTCCTTCTTGTCTGTTTGAAAAAAAGGGAAAAGTAATAGGCCATTTATGAGTTGCCTTTTGCCTCTGTCTCAAAACAAGTCTTCGCTCGAAACCATTCATATGAAATGTGTTCCACCGACAGGTTCATTTTCGTACAAATCAAACTCATTTACATATGAAAAGTTTTGCGCGAAGAATCGTTTTGAAACAAAGGCACAACGTAACTTGGAAATGGCCTATTAGTTTCTAATAAGTTAGTGAAAATGACTTTTCCAAAATCTTCATTTGCAACAATCAAGTCGCGCATGGTTGAGGATGTTTTAATCTCATAACCTGTCTGCTTTTTTTAATTGGCGACTCTATGATTTAGCGACGTAAGAAAATAAATTAAAAAGAAACTCAGTGAGGCTCAGCGATCACAAACTTACCAGTCAAGGTGATCAAGTAAACACCATCAGCCGCTTGTGTATCGTTGTCCAAGATATCTTTACAGGAATAGCCTGGTTTTTATTTTGAAACAATAATAGAATAAAATTATCAGCAGATTTTCTAGCAACCCTCGTGGCTTTATAGGTGAAAGACTATGAGATGCTCAAATAGTAGGAGATGAAATGTGTGCTGGGAAAGTGTTGTGAGCGCTATAAAATAAATAAAAGGTTAAAACAGTGCAAACAAAACTGTGGTGCAGGGACTTCAACCTCTATGTCATACAAATGAGGGTTATAGCAAATAAGTTAAAAAAAAAAACAGCAGTGCAGCAGCCTCTATACCTCATTAAAGCAAACCAAAAAATTATCATTATCAGCAGTGGAGTCCCGCTTCCATCTGGTTCAAAACAGTACTTGCTAATCTAGTCCGTAACAGCGCGCGTAAATTTTCCACTACTCGTCTTTCACTGATGCGATTTTCTTTCATTGAGTTATGTTGCCAGTTATAAATAGTTTTTTCTGCTGTCAGATATTGGGCAATGAACTAGTATACAAATTTAACTGTGGCTGAGTTTCTATTTGTATTGAGTTTTTCGATAATGTTATAAGAGTTGAAAACTTTATTACTCAGTGATTGGCAGTACTCCCCAGAGAATCCCTTCTTGCAAAGGCAAACATAGCTGTTCTTCTCGTACTGTGATACGCAAGTTCCATCGTTCTGACAAGGCCAGCTGCTGCATGGAGACTGAAAGTGTAAACGGAAAATTAAGACTGAGTAACGTTATAATACAGCCGCACAAATCTACATGAACTGATGCCGCTACATTAACAGACCCGCCGTACAATGCCAGCGAATTTACTTTTGCTATCGAGAGATGCCTTCGGGAGCGGAGATGGCTTTGAAAGTTCAAAGCGAGTGCAAGAGGCTACTCCCATGCACCAGATAGCTTCGAATTCGCTGGTGTTTATTCGCTTTCATTCTTGGGTTTGCGTTGCATATGTCAATTCAGTGCTACCATCTTTTAATTCGGCATTTTAATAAAGCGCCATCAGCGTCCGCTAATCGATAAGGTTGTGATGTTCCGTGCTTCGAGTTTTAGCGAAATATCGGAAAAGCAAAAAACAAATCTACAAGGTACCGCCTGACAAAAGGTATTGTATATCCTATAGTTTTATATCCTATAAGCAGCTTTAACAACTTAAGAGTCAGTGTCGGTAAAGTCCGATATGATCATCAAAATCGCGGACACAGCACAAAAAAAAAATCGATTTCGCTCATACTTTCTATATTGATAGACCCTGATGCCAAAGTAAACAAAACAAGGTTAGTTTGCTGTAATCTTTTGAAAGTAATTAAATAAAGCCAAATTTTAATATTCGAACTATCGAAATTCTGTCATGTCCATGGCTTGTCAGCGTAAATTGAAAATTAAGTGTGAATTTTCCTTTGCGATAACATTATAGTTAGGGCCTTGACCAATTCATTGACGACATGAAAAGCAGACATTCTCTAGTTATAAATATTTTATATTTTTTTTTCTCGAAGAAACCTTGCGGCTGTTTTTTAATAGTTCTGTGGTACCCTAAAACAGCCGCCGAAAACACTTGTCGTTACGCGAAGAAAAAACCAATAACTATATTGCAGGAACAGTTTAAGGATAGACGTTCACAGAAATACTTGCAATTTTTGGGACACTTTTTAGCTTTGCGGTACCCCTTGTTTGAAGTTTTCTTATTTTCGAGCCGGATTTACGTGACTTGTGTTATGTACCTGCCACACTGTAGAGCGTAAATAAATGAGCTATCATAGGTGAATGGGCACCTTCGGACTTGGGGGCGCGGTGACCTTCTTACCCGAAAAAAATACGCGATTGCCGAATGCGTGAGCTTTGAAATTGGGATACAAATAAAACGTACTCAAATTGCATGAAAAACAAAAACGTTTACAATTCCCGCATCTAATGAAACTGCTATAATTCCAAAAGTAGTTATATTGAAAGCTTGCATACTCAATGACCTCTATCAACAGTCTCAATCTAGTAAAATCTAAAACTTATTAAGAGAACTAAAAAAGTGACTAACTAGAAACTCTATTTACGAGTTTTGGAAATCACGCCAACAGCATTATTTTGTAACATTTGTGTCGTTGCCCGAACAATGAGCCTTGTGCTCGAAAAATCACATTATTTCCTCTGATGAAACTAAAACTTCAGAAGGGTTGGTAATTTCTTATTTTGAAAAATGATGACGTCACATGAAAACCGGCAAAATAGTCCATATAAAGGAGTTCCCCCATGTAGATAGGAACTTGGAATACGGATGAAAAGTGCGGTGCACCTGAGAGAACGTGGAAAGGACAGGAGCACTTCAGTTGCAAATGTTCTTTTTTGATTCAATTTGCTTTTGTTTTTATAGAAACGATGATACTCGTACGACTTAGTACACTTCAATTATACTATTTCAACGTTCAAGCAATCTAATATTATTCAAACGTTATTAGTATCAAGCAATCAATTCGCCCAACAAGAGCTACATTTTATTATCAGTTTATAACACTACATTACGTGACCTAACTCTTGTCAGATCAGGAACTACGCCTCAAAGAATGCCCGAAAAATGGAGAAGACATGGCAAAATTGACGTTAAAGTGCGGGCTTTCATGGTACGCTGTAATAATAAAATTAGTGAGTTTAAATGGAAAAGAAGTTGCTTTGTGGCGAGTTATTTTTGTTTAAATCCATACTTCCACAGAAAACCAATTACGTGTCTACGTCTTAAAATTGGCAATGTTGCCCATTACGTGATATTCTTGTTGCTTGTCGAGATATAGGTAGCGTACCTGAGAAAGTCAGGCAAAAAGAATATCTTTGAGACTATAACATTCAACTTTGGAATCTCACTATGTTCCAAAAAAAGAACATTTGGGTTCATTCTTTGTACGCAATTAACATTTGCGGTCTTTTAAAAAAGAGTGCAGTCACGGCTTCGATGATGCGTGTTATTCAACTGCTTGGCAGATAGACTTGCCCTAAGTCGACCTCGTGAGTTTCAAGATAGAATAGCTAAGCGAGCGAATCGAGCTGCGAGGTTTTAGGCCGCAAAGCGACGTTGTGAAGGTCGCGAGGCGGTTGAGCGAGTGACGAAGGAGTGAAAGTCCACGTGACAGATAAAAACTGATCGAATCGCGTTGAACTGGCCTTGACTGTTGCAATGTATCAGATGTGTTTCTGTCTGCCAGCGCAACACCGGAAAGTGTTCTGATGGGAAACACAGCCAACATGAGGCCGACTTACTCACCAAAAACTCAAGAGAAAGCACAAGTTAGCGCGAGACAAACGAAGATGTCATAACGAGGTCAAGAGGTGAGTCACAGCAGACTTTGTAAACGTTTCTCGACACTTTTCTGTTCGGTGTAACTCTACATTTTGTTCTGATGTGTATTCAACTTATTCCGTTGATTTTGCTTGGTAGTTTCACATTAGAAACCATGCGTGCGAGCGCGGCAATCTTTGAAGAGCCTCTGCCTGAGAGACCGGGGCAGACTTGGAAATGAAGGTCGGCCGATTTCGCTTAAAATTGGCACACAAAGTCGTTATGTGGACTCATGTAATATGCCAGAATTTTAGGTTTAACGACGTTTTTTTAGCCGAGTTCTGGATATCAGCCCCTCAGGGGTCCCCAGAGGCCATTTCCGGTTGCTTCCCATATGCTTCAATTAGGTCCAAGTTGTGGTAACAGCCACAGGCTAACGAAATATTCCTGTGAGCTAATGTTTTTACCCATAAAAGCCTAAGGATAGGGCATTACAAATATGGTTTTAGTTGTATCTGAAATTAATTGTACGTTGCTAAACGGGAGATTGAAAAGTGGCCAAAATTGCACTGAAAAATCAGCCTCTGGGGACCCCTGAGGGGCTGATATCCAGAACTCGGCTTAAAAAAGGTCGTTAAACCTGAAACTTTGGCATATTACCTAAGTCCACATGACGAATTTTAAAGGAAATCGGCCGACCTTCATTTCCAAGTCTGCCCCGGTCTCTCAGGCAGAAGCTCTGAAGTGTTTATACTTAATTTTCATATTTCAAAAGGGCGGATATTGAAAATTGGCTTATTTCAGGAATGTCTTGTTAATTGTACAAATAGAAACGATCCCGAGGAAATTAAACGGCAGAAAGTTGAAGCCATCCTGGAACATGTCTCAGGAAATTTCCGGGCCGGGTTCATTGCGTACCGCGGGCATTTTTGGCACGTTTGTTCGAAGTACCTACAGCTGCTCTGAAAAGGATTCGTTGGTGCACTTGACCAAAAATCATATTTTATTTGGAAAAGTTATGATGGGATTTGCCGCCATTCAATTGCGGAAGCATCAGGTGAATAGGATTAGTGTGAAACTGATTTAAAATTTGCCTTGAGCTGACTCGACAACGCCACGAAGTATGACACTTTCGAAGGTTTTGTTCAAGAAAATATCGTAAACCGTCTCAAGTTGATTTCTCCCGAACAAATAAGCGAGATTAAAAATATAACACAAACAGCGGTGATAAACATTTTAAAAACATGCATTTTATGAACTTGACGTTTCGTATGTTAGGCAACATAAATTTTCAAAAGTATAACCGTTAAAATTTTTTGGAAAGCTGTTTATAATGTATCCAGACCCTCATTAATTGATACATTATAAATAGCTTTCCAAAAAAATTTTAACGGTTATGCTTTTGAAAATGTATGTTGCCTAGCATACGAAACGTCCGAGTTCATATAATGCATGTTTTTAAAATGTTTATCACCGCTGTTTGTGTTATATTTTTTAATAAGCGAGAATTTTAATAAAAGATCATCCCTGTCAGATGTACAGGACTAAGGCCTACCAATGGGCAAAACATGGGCGAAATTGAATTTTGAGCTGTCCGCGATTTCTTTGATCCTTACTAACATAGTTTTCTCTTAATTCCTAAAGAGTTATCCATTTTAACAACGTCCCCGCGTAGACTATTACAGTTTTCCTGAGTTTTGGTCAATGTAGATTATTTATTGCAACTGCTATAGGAAAGGACGTCGATTTTACACCTACCGCAATACTGAAATGATGAAACTTCGGGTGTGCGATGAACTTATCCGTGTTGTTGTACAAGTCCGATGGAAGCAGTTCACAGAGCTTTTTGTTGATACCGGGGACTGCTTCAAGGTTGTAGGAAAAACATGAAGGAATTTCCAAGCAGGCAAACGCACACTCGATGCTGTCTTCAACAAGATCTGTACCAGTACTTGTGATATTCAGATACGAAAACGTGTCTCGCTTGAGGTTGATAAAAGAGAGCCCTTGAGAAGACCTTCCTCTGAAAACTGAGCGATTGAAAGAGGTTTAGGAGTCACGATTTTATGTCGGGACAGAAATAGTTACGATCTAGGAAGGGAGGGGGCGTAAGGGGGCTCCGAAAACCGCAAAACCGCGTGAAAAAAAACGTAAAAAACCGCAATACCGCATGGAAA